GCATGCAACACTCTCGCACACACAAGGAGCAGGCAGACACGAACATACATGTACACGCACAAACAATCACAACTGATGTGGGTTTTCTTTTGTGTAATGTATGTGCCTGAAAACACTTAATTTGCATTTGCATGGAAAAAAAAAAGAATTATGGAGGATGGACAAGGGGCTGAAGATTAGAAGAGCGAATGATGTATTTTCTCACTGCTTTGCAACCCCATGGAGAGAAAAGAGGACCTGGACAATTAACCAGAGAACAGAGAGCGTGCTGGGTAATTAGCAGGAAGTCAAAGCAAGCATTTCCCTTGAGCGGAGACATTTTTGCAAACATACACATGCGCCTCCATTTCTTCAGTTCTCCAACATGTGGTTGTTCTGTACTGTGCTCAGGGAATGATCATCATCAGAAGATAACTAATGGGAAGTCAACACTGGATGAAGCCAGATCTGAGCGTTAAACAAAAGGCCCAAGGATATTGCCCCGAGAATTGTTTCCAACCACAATTATGGGAATTGGTACAAAGCAGAAGGACAGATGGATGCAGAACAATAGCGGTTCATTTGATTCATGTTCCTCTGAAGGGACATGATTCTTTTTGAAAGATCAAATGCATCAAAGTTACCTCATATGGTGTTCGAGTAACCTATTATTTTTATTTTAATTGCTACAATATAACACCAATGCCTAACGGGCAGAGCTTGAAACGGTGTTATTTTCAACTCGGATAGGAGCAAGATAATTGACAATGTTGGCATAGGGTACCACTCGGTGTAAAGTCATGAAAATAAATTCTGGGTCATGTTTCATGGAACAAGCGAAGGAGGGGGAGAGAAAACTTGCTTGGTGCGGACACATAGGGGCAGAGCTGTGAGCGTCTGTTGCAAGGTGCTTGAGAGATAACAGCAGGAATAGTGTGGGTGTTAAACTCTCTCACTGGGAAAAGTGTGAGTGTTGAAACACCTTCCCCACCGGAATCCACCCCAGCATCAACGTACAGCTGTTATTTTTCCTTCCCATTATTTTTGTTGCTTTGAGCAAATCATTCTGATGAGCTAAAAATGGCCTCACGTTTTGGGGGATGCACTTAATGAATGGATGGTGCTGATTTATTTTTTTCTTTGTAGGTTCACACAATCCCTATTTTTCATCCTTCATCAAAGTCCTTCTGGCTTGCACAGCTGCTCCCCATTATTCATCCCCTGTCATTCCTGAAGGTAGCATCTCCAAATCTGGGCCACCTTAATGCATTTGATGGTAACCTTGCAGCTCTGCTTCTCCATCCAGATAAATTGATATGCTGCAGCCATCACATTGATCGTATTTCTTTCCGTGATTTGGGGCCCACGGAGGAGTGAGCAGGTGTAAGCCCATAGAATATAGAATGAAAACCCATCTCAGATTCCCAAGGGAGGCACAAACCGGAAATCTGGTGTTTGATCACAAAAGTCCAGCACAAATGTGAATGTGCACTTGCATAAATAAGTTTTTTTTTGCACTCTTGCTCACCAATATAGACAATGCCACACCAACTCTGTAGTCTTATCTCACAAGAGTAAAAGAATCCACGTTCGAGCATCTACCCAAACAATCTCCTTCTCTCACCACATTTCTTTATTTGTCTCCCAATCTATTTTTCTCTTCCACACCGACAAAAAAACAAAACAAAACAAAAAAAAAACTACACCTAGCCATTTTCTTGCCCCTCTTATATTCCCAGGTTATATTTATAGGCAACATCACCCCCCAACCCCCCCTCCAGTGTGTATTCATCTCTTTCTTTCACTGCCAGTCATCCAGACCCTGGGGTGTTCTGAGGTGATCAATCTTCATCCTCTCAGTGCTGTCACACTATAGGGTCAATCCAAAAGACACACACACGCACGCATACAATTGCAACGGGTGGATGACAAATGCCAAGATTTACATACATTCCCAGAGAGGAAAGTTTGCATTCAGGGATGCAAACACAAGTACACAGACACGTAAACACACACAAAGGGACACATTTCATTACTTCCACATAGTTCCTTTTTATAATGAGATATGTTACACCAATGTAGAAAGTACATGGCTTGGTTCTCAGCCAGTGAATAGCCATGATAGGAGGCCCTAGTTTTGACTACAAAGTGTGGGTAACCGCTCTACACTCCTCAGGAAGCTTCACAACTTTGCTCTAACCTTTCCAAAATGTACAACACGACAAAACATCGGGACTGCAAAGGGAACAGCAGCAGTGCTTGTTTCTGTCTCATTAATATAACAGTCAGTAACGTCAGTGAAAGGAATCATCGAAACACAATTCTAACAATGGGTTACCAAGGTTTTCCTAATGTTGTATTCTGTCTCTTTGCTGGCAAAAGCCAATTTGGGAAAATTTCCATTCAAAGACCCAATAAAAGTGCCTTTTGTTTTTTATTGTGAGTCAAAGTGCACTGCATCATGACAACATATGCTTGTAATATTTCACTGTTAATGAGAGCTTCCTGGCTTCTAGTATGATGCAGTACAATACATATGTGACAGTGATCCTCAAATCTAAAGCCCCAATCCCACTGAGGGGCGAACATTTGCAGATGCTGGCGAGGACAGAAAAATCCACATTCCCGTCAGAGTTCATCAGGGTTCCTTCAAGGTCGGAAATGTTTGCAAAATGTCCTGTTTGAGCATTTTTTTCTCTTGTCATAAGGAAACTTTGAACATGTTCAATATTCCCTCGTGACAAGAAAAAGAGAAAGTCTGCCGAACGTCTGGCGAACATTTGCGACCTTGAATGAACCCTGACGAACTCATGAACGCAACATTCTCTGCCTTTTTAAAATTTAATGTATTATTATTATTTATTTATTATTTTTGCGCCTCGCTGGGCTTCAGGCGGACTTGGGGCACTACACTTCCCTGATGCACCTGGCAAGTTGGTGACAGAAAGCAGACTACAATTTAGACCATCTATAAACAGGTCTAAATTGAAGCATAGGTAGTGTAATGCAATTTTGGTGGATTTTATCAAGGAACAGACCGACAGATTCTGAGCCCCGTGAAAATGTGTGGTGGATGTCATTGTACACCTTTGAATAATACGAGAGACAAATTTATTGAAGGCATTAGTGTTAATATCATTTTATGAACATTTTTTCAAAGCAACCCCTTATGGGGGCGGTTTGGAGGATGTCACACACAGACACACAATTTTGGGTAGAAGGCAGTCTCCAAGTGCCCACTTCACAGTGGCCAACTTAACATCATCCACAAGTGGAAATCGTCTTGCAGTCCCATTCAAATGTACTTTTTTGTGCCAATCTCCTCCAGCTTCATGCCATGTAGACTGTGCGCCTCTCCCTGTGCTGAATTTCAAAGGAATGAGGGGAGCCGCTTCCATTGGATGGCAAAAAAGTCGTCTCTGTTCCCACCCACAACGGCGCAATCTGCGCCAGTCCAGTAAAATACCAAAAGAAGGAAAAGTCCTCTCATGCGCACAGTTGGACTGCACTGTGCACTTGACTTGCGCTGGACATGAAACGAGGGCCCATTGTATTGAAACCCACCACATACTGTATTACATTTTTCAAATGTACCTGATGTTTTCGAGGTCTTTCGCAGGTATGACAGCAACAATGACTGCAAATAACTATTGTGAGTGCAAATGCCTCATGCTGAAAGCCATAGCTCCACTGGCCTTCCACATGTACACATGCATCAGTACAGAGTGAGCATAAAGCTGCGATCAGTGAAGCTGAATTAAACATAGCCAGGCCTCATTAATTTTGCAAAGGGCCAGCACACTGGGGAGCACATCCAAAACCATCAGTGCTGGAAGCCCCTGTGCCCAGCAGGAGAAACACAACTACAGCTTACGGAGTAAATGCTCAAAAACGTGCAAATGCAAGTGAGCGTATGTGCGGCGTCACTCTCACCACGTGACTCATGAAGTGCAACCAACGCCCTGCAGGAGGACTCCGCCCCATAAACGCGCTCTTGAACACAGAGAACAGTTGTTGGCCTGAGTGAAGGGTTTTGTATTTCCTTCTTCTGTGCAGGTAGCATGCCAACAGAGTGCAGACTAACGGCAGTGAGCTTGAAAGTGTTATTCCTCAAGATGAAGAGGAAGATACATCGGAGTGGAAGGCTTTTGGGAATCACAAACAAATGGAAATGCTTTTATCAAGACGGTCAGGTTTTCTTCTGTTCCACTCCATTAACAAAATGTGATCATTCAGTGCGTGTGTGGGCCTATGTTATGTGCAGCTCATGTGGAAATGTCACTATTTGCTCTTAATGTGAACATTGTTTAGTTATTGTGACATAATTGACGGGGCAGCGAAAAAGAAATAAATTGGAAATTCCTGGACCTCCCACCTTAACGTAGTTGTAGATCTCTTAAAATAAATAAATACTGATAAAATAAGAACCATATACAGTAAATAAAGCTGTAGTTTGTATTTTTTAATTTTATTTTTCATTACTATTTCACATTTTGTACTTAAATGGAAAGACAAACAATTGAATTGTTTATGTCACATGGATTCATGGACTACTTTGAAAATCATTGTCATTTAAGCATTTCCCTTTATCGGAAGCACAGCATTAATTGCCAAACTGTGCACAATAGTCTTAAAGAATAATTATCGAATAAAAACAATAGGTCACTTTCTTTTTGACAAATTATGACACCGCTGTACTGCAATAATGGTCATGATAGTGGTACTTGGAGAGCTAACTACTATGTATTTGGAGGTGGTACTTGGTGTCAAAGGTTAGAGAACCGCTGCTCTGAAACATTTTGCACCAGTGCTACTTCCTCCACAGCTCTCATTATTTCTCTTAACAGTTCTTTCTAACACCATCACCCTGTGCTGACAGCATTGCTGTTTAGCAGCGTGTCTCTGGACTTTCATTCCTCACTATTGATTACTGGGCTGCACTTACTGTCAGCGGCTCTGGAAATCAGCATCAGGTAGACACACTGACTGTAACAATAGAGGCAAAGAAGAAAATCACTGACCTGGTTTCGAGTGGAACATTGCTGTTGAGTACCCAGCTGTCTTGGAGCTGCACAGACTCGGGAGTGGTAGGTCCGTCTCCGGTTCCTGGGGCTGGGGCGTGAATGGGGTTGCGGCCACCTCTCAGGGTATTTCTGTTTAGGCTGTTTGCAGACTGGTGTGACAAGGTGTGATGGTTGTGTGGAGGGGGCAGCGGAGGCCGAAGTTTGGACTGGGTGTGGTGGTTGGCCACCCCTGGAAGAAGACAAGTCAAATGATTGAAGGCACGTGAAATAAATAAATACATATAAAAATACATGAGAGAATGACAAAAAGACGATAGAGGGGAGTGAAACATCGGCAAGAAAACATTCGCACTTAATGTTGAGCAACCAATGTTGGGACAACAGGTGTCACATTTTAACGGTGAGAATTAATTGACACAGCATTTCCAAAAACACAAAAGTCATAATTGCTTTTTATATTTTTCCCCAATGCTTTAGCAGCTCTTTAACTTCACAGCAGACATAAGATGTGTGTGTTTGGGGTGTGTGTGTGTGTGTGTGTGTGTGTGTGTGTGTGTGTGTGTGTGTGTGTGTGTGTGTGGGGCGGGGGGGGGGTGAGGGGGTTCAGTATTATAGCACTCAGCATAGAATGATCCCTCCCTACTCCTTGTTCTTAGAATCGGCCAAAACATGTCAGCTAGAATCTAATACAGTACTGGCCCTTCCAGCACTGAGCTAATGGACTGTTGAGTGAGAGAACTGGAAAAACAAACCCAGATGACCCAGACAAGAAGACCCATTCACACATCCCTTTTCTCTCTGATGCTCTGTGTGTGTGCGTTGTACCCAAGAGCTTGTGCATATGTGCATTTGTGCATAGAAATCAATAAACCACATACTGTAAAATGAGGGCAAGCTCCATAAAGTTGCAGCACACCTTTTGTATTTGCATTCCTTTTCGTGCACGCCCACACACAGACACACACACACACACAAGATGCACATTCACACATAGGCAAAATAATATAATCAGGAACAATCCCTTTACTTTGCAGCAAATACTTTCTCATCTATTATGAAGTCGGAATAGACATGATGGGATTACTGCATCAATTGTAATACAATTGACTTTGAACTTTCCTCCCACATGGTTTCGCTCTCACTATTGAACACAACTAATTGGACAACACCTTATCATAACTCTGTTTGCATGTTACCTTCCTAATAGAAATGAAAAGAGGAGACGCAGTTCATACAGTAGCTGTACCTTGAAGTGACATCAGAGAAATCTCGTGCAACACAGTTACATAAGGTCCCCATTATTGATCATCTCTTGACTTTGATGAGGAAAGAAGACAAAAGAATAGGAGAGAAGAATTGGCTGCTTTTCTCCTTCGACCTTTGAAATGAATAGGTCTCCCTGGATGGGCATTCACATTAGATACAAGGCAGTGAGCTTTTTTGTAGTTCCGGATGCTTGGAAGGTGACCCGCTTCCATCACCACAGGGATGCAGGTGCCACCCAAATGCTACTGAGGAACAGATCCTCGTGAAAGCAGACAAGAAGAGAAGGAGACACCAGGAAGATGGAGGAGGCCTGACCTATTCCTAACAACTGAGACAGAAAACATCTGTTTAGACATGCAGGGATGCTCTTGGGAGAAAAGACACACAGGCAATGTCAAGTACTGTGCATCCACTAATGCAAACAAGCCCACACTTGAGAACCTGGAAGACATTTTGCTCTTGCATCATCTATGCAGAGGGTGTAGATTGCTATGAAAGTAGGCGGACGTCTCTTGTCCTCCGCGTGTCCGATTGTCTTATATCTGTTGTATTGCTTCCCTTGCTGCCGGTGAATTTTAAAAGCACGCAGAGATAAAGCTTGTTCGCTAAAAACCTTCTATGAGTAAATTTTATAAATTTGCCTCTTTGCCAAAGACACATTCAGACCAACAAAATATATGTGTAGGCATAGATAGACCAAAAGTCCTCACAACACAAAAATACGAGTAATGTATTCGCTCCCTTACACACCGGCTTGCTTATTGAAATGTGCATACACCAAGACGTGCTGTTTTCTATTAAACTTCCTGTTGTAAATATTGAGCATATTTTGGGGAATCTCAATTTACATAAATATTGCAGCAGCACAGCGGAACACTGGTGAGTGCATCTACTTCATCGTTGAGAGGTCTCTGGATCCAATCTTCTCCTGTGCTTGCATGAGTTTTCGCCTGGCATGCGAGTTTCTTCCCGCATTGTTTGTCTGCATGTGCCCTGCGACTGACTAGCGACCAGTCATGGGTACTCCCCAACTAGAATTTGCACCCTTTGACCCACAGCCATATTTAAAACAAGCAGTACAAATAGACAGACAGATGGATGAATATTGTGTGGCACATCTAGTCTGGAGTGGGATTATGTTTGGCAGCGCTACAGCTAATATTTTAGCCCACCTGTTTTGTTGCAGATCAAACTGACCCATTTGGTTCCAAGATTTTTTTTTTTTTTTTTTTTGCAAATGAAAATTCTTACATCATGATGAGTAGCAGAACTCATAATGAGACATAAAAATAAATGTTTCTTGGGTGTTCCTGACACGGGCTAATTAATAAACACATGGTGGCCCGAATGAACCCAAGAACATGCTTTTTTTTTTTTTTTAACATAACGAGAGGGTTACGTTTGAATAACATTCAAAACACATCAAGATTTGAAGATGAAACAGAGCAATGTTCCTTTTATGACTGACAACCAGTGGCCAAGTCTGCAAGAGAAGGTCGGCTTGCCTTAAAGTCCCAATCCCACTTGTGACTCTTAATGAAGGTAGCAAAATGCGTGTCCATGTCAATTTTGACACACGCAGGAGAATAATTTCAAAGAAATTCATGGACCCCTAATATCTACAAATAACTATCGAGAGCTGGTATATGAGTGAAAAGGCAGATGCAAAATCATTTTCATTTGTTTTCCTTCACTCCTACAGAACTAATGAAGAGAACAGATTATCTACCAGAGTGGAGACAAAGCACAGTAACGTGTGAATGGGTCCGATCAAATAAACACAGCAGACTGATTAATTTGAATTGTCCACTACGATAGAACAAGCTGCAGGTAGGATAATAGGTTGCTTTCCCAGGAAGCCATTTTGAAAGAAGACGTGGTGGATAAACAGAGCAATTAGGGAAGAGCTAGCTCTCCTTTTATTCTTCTCTTATCAATGTTTGTTTTCTCTCCCCCTCACTGCATGGGTAAACAACAATTTTTGAAATATTTTCTCAACAATCTCTGTTGGGTTTTCAGTCCCAACAAAAACTCAGAGGCCCTCTGACTGCTATGTTGACTGACCCAATTTAGTCCCACCGCATCCCTGTCGCTGTAAACCGCAAGGTTAGGATCTGGCTAATCCCTCGAAGTTCATTATATCACTCAATTGAAAGGAGACTCATTCAGCAGAGGAAACATTAGGCTGCTAACCCGCCTCCCCTGTCAAGAAAACCGTCTTCAGTGTGTGTGTGTGTGCGTGTGTGTGTGTGTGTGTGTGTGTGTGTGTGTGCGTGTGTGTGTGTGTGTGCGGATTGCCAGCTGGCAGCAGCAACCAACTGAGATAGTTTGTTTCGCAGCCCTGGATAGGCAAAGTGTTTATTGAAATTTTCTGTGCATAACAGAGAAAAGTTGCTGGGGAGGACATGTGTGTGTGTGTGTGTGTGTGTGTGTGTGGACGGCAGAAATGCCCATTCAGCAGTTAAGCGGGATCATTGCAAGGCTCTGCCACCCGCTTCTTCTCTTTGCCAACCCTATCCCCTGTCCTTTTCACTTCACTTCATCTCTTTACCACATTAGTCACATCCTTCTTCAGTCTTTCCTTTTACAAAGAAAAAATGGCACATTAATTGTTTTTTTCATGCAATTTTTCAGCAAGCCATGCTCTCCATGTCTTACATCATAATCCCAGGTGCTCTTAGTTCATCTCCTTTGTCTGAGCAAATCACACCCTGCCTATTTGTCATTCTTCTCAGACAAGCTGGAGGAGAGATTGAGGTGAAACATCTCACAGAAACACATGCACACAGGGTACCTTTATAATATATACAGTCACAGAGGAGGGGGCTTTGTATAGTCTAGACTTTTAGCAACAATCTCAGTCACACAAATCTCACACTTTGGACAAAGTACCATTTAAGCATATTGTGCTCATAACTCATTCATAAGAACCGTTGCTTTGGAACGGGTCACGGTTTGAAGACCAAAATAACTACAATGATTTTACTCAATTTTATCTTGCCAATTGTTTGCACTAAATATAAGTATCTGAATCCAGATACATCTCAAAAATATTACATAGTCTGCTGGCGAATGGCTGGCAACCAGTTCAGGTTGTACCCCGCCGACTACCCGAAGAGAATTGGGATGAGCGATAGATGGATGGATGTATAGCCTACTTAAAAAATGTGTCTGAATCCAGATTATTTTATTTCATTCGACCACTTGATGAAATAAAATTGAGTAAATTCATCAACATTTTTTTCAGTGTAGTTGCTGCAGAGATAATGTGATGCATGTGGACCATCTACGGCAAGGATTCAACCTTTGCCATTTCTCATTCAAATGAAGTCTGTTATATTTGTCATAATATTAATTTATTGATACACTAGTTCAGCTTACATGTAATCCCTGAAATGCCTTTCCCATTGATAACGTTTTATAATTGCTTGACACTTGCCATTATTTTCAACGGCAAAAAGTTTTTCTGAAATTTGAAAAAAGTCCACCCTCACTTGAATTGGTTTGTTCTTGGACGTTTGTCTGTGTATGAAATGATACAAGCATGCGCAATGACAAACTGAAACACGCACACGCGCGCGCGCACACACACACACACACACACACACACACACACACACACATACACACACACACACACGCGCGCGCGCACGCGCGCGCGCGCGCACACACACAAGTTCAGTGAGGATTCAGCACAAAAACCTTTTAAGACAAATGGACTCATGTCATTTCATGTGTTCAATATGATGGGATCAGTCAGGATATTTGATTGCGGATCAAGATGTCGTCGGGATGTGACGCCTCTGCCTTGGCTAGTCATCTTTGTCTAATTAGGAGGCAATAATCCGCTAGAGAAGAGTCATCACGTTCAGCCAAAAACAAGCTATGAGCACAAATGCGAGTGTGTATTTCACCCACACTCACACATTTGCATATAAATACACACATGCTGTTACGCGAATGTCACCCTTACATAAGCGCTATTAGAAAAGAACATTTGTGCACAATAAGCGAACATGTCTTTCGTTTTCCTTTGTTTGTGTAGCTTTGTTTCAACAAAGCCATTAAACATTGATCACATTAGCAGTGACTTAAGGTGAATGCCCTGGCAGCACAAGGCTAGTCACTTTGGACTAAAAATAACTTAGCTTCCCCCCCCCCCATGAATAATGAATGGCTGGAGACAGCGCTAACGTTAGCTCTTTCCAGGAGTGATCTGCTATGCTCCGTTTGGTCGTCTTAGCTCTCCTGGTGTTCTGGGGAAATGTTCCCAGACAGGTGCTCTGCGCCAGATATTATTCCCATATAAACAGTCGCAAACCCAATTCCCAGCCAATCCGGGGCAAAAGTGTTCCATCCCATTCAACTGTCATGCCTGACTGAAAACACAAGTCATGTCTGTCCACCTGTTAGCTTTGGTAATGGGAGACTACTTTGCCAACACACACACACACACACACACACACACACACACACACACACACACACACACGCCTTCATGTAATAACCATCAGCTTTTGGGACAACACACACACACACACACACACACACACACACACACACACACACACATGCGCCCAGGGACATGCATGCATGTAAACAGCATGCAGCTTCCTGCAGGATTATCTCACAGTGGTCACTTTCTGCTTGGCCTGGTCAGACTCATTTCCTTCTCAGCGTCCACTCTCGATACGCCACCACATCCAACACGCATATGGTCACACAGGCCCTCATTCATGCAGACAGACATGCAGTCACATGTGGGGTATTTTATTCAATTGCCACTATTTACATGTCCTTCGACATGCCAGGGAAGTACTAGGCTGCCACTCTAAACTTATTTTTAGACGCCGCGAGCCCGCTTTTTGAATTACTGTATTGAGCAGCTCTCAGAAATAGCCTTTGTCATCTACATTGGCCCCTATTTCTTGTTTCTTTGACTCCTGTACCTTGATTCCATCCCGGTTACTCTAAATCCATTTGTACTTTTTCCCTTTTTTAAAATTCAGTCTTTTCTTGCTTCCGCAGAGGAAGTTTCACGAAAGAACTTCATAAGTTTTCCGCCCTTGTTTGCTGCCTCTATGATTATAAGCTCAGCCGAGATTTGAAAGAGGCCCCTCGAACACAAAGTGTGGGTGTATATGAACAAGAGCAAGAGATTGAGAAAGTGTGCCTATGAGCCTCACTTTCCCTCTTTGCCAGAGTCTGCCATTAGGGTGTCGGTGGCAGAGTGAATTTATTTGCTGCGCGGTTACTGGGCTAATGATTGATGTTGCCCCAGCAAACAGTAAACCAATTAGAAGGCTGATGTAACGTCATTTTAAAAGCCTCCTAATCACGTTCTTCTTGAACCTGGGACCCGGGCCTTCCCTAATGAAGATTTATACTGGATCAAAGGAGAGCCTAACGCCATTAACAATAGATTGTATTCCACCAAAAATCACATTAGGACTTTCCCTTTCCCTCCCATCAGACCTCTGCTAAATATATCTGCTGATTACAAGTGCAGAGGCACAGAGGAGAGGAGAAACAAGGGTGGAGAGAGGGGGCGGGGGGGGGGGACACACTAAGATAGATATAGTTGGCCCACAGTAACTAATTGTTGAGACAAATGTGTATGCTGATGCACATCATTGCAGTTGTGTGTGTTCAAATGAGGAAAATAAATAGCTGCAATGTGCTGATACCAGCACACAGGGCCTGTAACTACCACCAAGAGAATTTCAAGTGACAACAGAGAGCGCACATGTTGGGGAAACGAATTTACTTTTCTTTTGTAACACACAGTCTCCTGCTTTTTAAATCCATCACCCGCTTACAGTTTACTTTGTGCAGAATTATTAATGGCGGAGTGTATATACACCTGCATACTTTCATAAAATACCTTTACAATGATAGCTCCTCAATGGCAGAAAAACTAGTTGCTTCAAAGAAACAGGTGGAAAGTTTGACCAAAATCTGCGTCAAAGTTTTCTTGTATGAGTTATTATTTATCCTGATCAAATACGGAATGTGTTGGCTTTCAAAAATGTATAAAAATGAATGAAAATGAAACATCCACCAGTTTTCCCCCACTTACGCAATTAGTGCCCCTCTGTTAAAAAGCAAAAAAATATATATCATGGTCCAAAACTTTGGACTATTCTCAGGCGGCCTTAAATGAGCCCGGGTCGAAATTCTATTGAACATCTGTGGAAGGAGCTGCAGTTTCGATAACTGGAGCAATTTGCTCACAAAAAATAGGCCAAAAGATCTTTCAGGACAATTTCAGCACTGCTTCACATAATTGCAGTCCATTGTGGACCTCAGATGGTTTAACAGAGCGGATACAACAATTTTAGAATTTAACTTTGAAAATGTATTTGTCACTGTTTCTATATCAGACTGTAAATGATTAAAAAGACAATGTAAAGCCACTGATCATCCGCCATCTAAAACAGAACAGCAAATGTCACACACGTAATGACCGAATGCAAAACGGTGATGGATGGCACGAATGTCTTCATACATTTAAAGAATGAAGGTGTGGATGAGTCGGTAGATTTCTTACCGGTGGAGGACGGCTGGGCCCGGAGCAAGTATGAATCATCTGGGTGGGGCTCCAGGTGAGAATGGGTGGAGTTTTTCTCCAGAAGGGGAACCTGACACTCCCTGATGGGCGGAGACGGGCCAGGGGAGGGATGGTGTGGGGCGGACGAGGAGGACGGATGGGAAGGAGGGAGCAGGGAAGAGGAAGAGGTTGGAGGCATTGGGCGACCTGGAGGATGGAAGGAGACAAAGACGAATGGTGAAAGTTAGACAAAACCGATGGTGATGACTGACAGTGATGTAGTTGGCCTGTTCCGGGTTGCCAACATCCAAACATTGGTGCAGAGTCACGTATTTATACAAATCATCGACACAATGTGCTTGAGTGTGAGATAAAAAAGTTCTCAAAGGACTATTTTGGAAGCGCAAATTAAAATGGTTCACACGGTGAGAAAGCAAACAAAAACTCACAATCTGTATGAATAAATGTAAAACAATCAGCCTCGCTGGACGTCAGGCAAGGACACTTTGAACTTTTGAGATTAGTCTCTGTTCAGCCGTGCAAAATGGATGCATGACAAATCAACCCGTGCTGTCTGTGCAATTTAGCAAAATTGGAACTTGTCTTTTATTTGACGACAGATGCGTGCTCTTCTTGACTTCTGCCATCATCTTTTCATTTACCAAAGAGAGAACGTTCTGTTTTCTTCTCACCGAATGGGATGATGCCGTTTCCGTTTCATTTGGACCCTGTTGTAGCCTCATTCTCTACTTGGGTACGACCCGAGAACAGCCACTCTTTAAATAGCCAGAACCATTGGGACATGTGGACACAATCAGGCTGTCCCGTACACCAGAGAGACAAAAGAGGGACGGAGAGAAAGTTGTTCTACTCTCCAAAGGTTTGCAAATCAAGGACAAAGACAAATCTAATAAATTCTAATTAGAGTCAGCTCAAAATATAGAGTAATTATGTCTGCCATATTTGTAGCTCAATCAATCAACAACATTGTTAGAATGAGGCCATCGACTTCAGCTAATCCACTAAAGAACTCAGGTTATTATCACCGCTAATTAAATAGTCACACAGAGACGCAGTGCCACAAAGATAATTATTTATTTTCTCTGGAATTTAAAATCAAAATTGTAGCCTTTGGCTCCAAATGAGTTTTTTTTTTTTTTTTTAACAGCTTTCAAAAACAAAACAAAAAAAAAACCCAACAGCTTTCTCAGGAATATGTGAGCATGGTAAAAAGAAAGCACAAACCTGTTAGTTTGTTTTTAGCTTGTCACATTTTGAACCATTCATCTTTTGTTAACACAACAGACAAGTTCTAGTGAAGAATGACCTTGGTTTGTCACTTTCACTTTTTCTACAGGTAGACCTTGAAGAAAGAAGCAGGATTCTATGAATAAAAATGGCCACGGGTGTGAGGGTGATTGTCTAGGCCTTGTCTCTCGACAGGAGCCTTGCGATGGGCTGGCAGTCACTTCAGGGTGTACCTCGCTTCTTTCGCTAAATTGTGAGGATGAAATTGTTTTTTTACCTCTTTTAGCCTAAATCAGTATCCCAAAATATATTTTCCTCCATCAGTATTTCTTTGAAACAAAGACATTGATGTGCGTCATGATTGCGGCAGGAGCTCAATGGTAATGACATGCCCTTGGGTACCGCAGAGTCGCCATAGAGTCCTGCCTCTAGTAATTATCCTCACGCATAGAAAGTTTTATATTTCAAAAGTGGACCTTCCAATTACAGTGCGTTGACTGATTTAAAATGGAGATTTTCCCCCCCTCCCCTCCATGTGCAATATTGTGCCATGAAATAGCGCAAGGTATCATCAAACAGCGCAGTTGGACAAAGTCTCATCAATGTGAGGTGCATTTAATCAATGCAGGTGCCATCACGGCTTTATAGAGATATATCTGATCGAAGAGGAGTCGGAGCGATGCCTCTCCTCTGTCCTATCGCCCAAACTGCCCCATCTTGGAGCCGCGTGTCATGGAAAGCAGAGCTGGCATCGATCCTCGGCTCTGCATTAACTGCACCCAAGAGAGAGGACCAGCTTTGCCTTCTATATAGCGATGTGTCTGCACGTGTGTGTGTGTGTGTGTGTGTGTGTGTGTGTGTGTGTGTGTGTGTGTGTGTGTGTGTGTGTGTGTGTGTGCGCGAGTGTGGACAGGCAAACGTGTGTTTGCATGTGTGCGCTTCCGGTCACTCTCATCAGGACAAACTGTGTAAAAAAAAGAAAAAATGAATAAAGCAAACAATGTGGTGTACAAGAGGGAATAGGTGGGAGGGAAGGTGACAGACTGATGTCAAGGCAGTGGGGAGGGGAGATGGACGTTGGTTTTTCAGGGGTCATGAGGTCAACCGCATTAAAGGAGAGCACAGGATTGGACTGAAACAACAGTGGGGAAAAGATAGGACTGACAAAAATATAAGAGAACGGAATGGAGGACGCCGAGAAGGCAAAGTGAATGGATGAAGAAAGACAGGAAAAACAAATGAAGAGGAAAGGAGGGAATAGGCGACCTTTACTTATGTAAAAAAGCAATTGATCCCCCCAAAAATCAATCACGTCCTTCTATTGATGTTTGAGATGGAATATAGCTATTTGCATATTTTACAAGGCCTCTAATCAGGCAGTTGGTGACAACATGTGGTAAGCATCTGCCTGAATGAGTGTTCATGCGTGTGTATGCGCGCGCGTGTGTGTGTGTGTGTGTGTGTGTGTGTGTGTGTGTGTGTGCGTGTGTGTGTGTGTGTGCAGTAGCACAAATCTAAGCCCGCTTTGCTTCTGCATACTATTAATGCATGTGGACACAATTAGATGAGCCTGAACTCACTTGTGTAAGCTTCTGTATTTTCCGGGGTGGTTATTAATATTTTAAATCACTTTAATTACAAAAATACCCCCCCAAAAATGCTATAGTTGGCCAAAAGCAATTAAGGGAACTTTAATCTCTTTAGCAATTATGCTGCGGGGCATCCTTAACTCAGGCGTTTCTGCCCGCTACATTTCCGAGAAAGGTCAGTGAAAATTGGTTTGTGTTATTAGAACAAAAGCTTGGCAATGAGCTCACGTGGTTCTCTTGACAATCACATCGTTGCCATCTTTTAGCCGCCTCCCTGGCCATCTGTATGCGTTCCTCCACGACACACAATTATAAAATCCAAAGTGTGGATTAGTATGGCAACTATGTGCACTGCCAAGGAGGAAACAAGGATTCCTCAGGCTTTTGTTCTAAGTACAGTGCCAGGCGGGATTGTACTTGACTTTTGTACACTGTAGAAATGCAACGATTAATTGATTAATTGACACCGAGTCGATTATCAAATAAATGGAAGCTTATTTTGAAGATGGATAAATCATTTCATTTCAAGACCATGTTTAACATTTTCTGCCTCTCAACAGAAAATATCAGATTTCTGTAGTCCTCCATGAAAGCAGACTGATTAATTTTGTATTGAATCAAAATTTGCAAACATCTGCTTTTACTTAAGATTATCATTCTTGCGTATTTTCTGACATTTCACAGACCAAACCAGTAAATGAATCCATCCATCCATTTTCAACACCCTTTATACTGAACAGGGTTGCGGGGAGTTGCTGGAGTCCATCTCAGCTGACTTTGAGCGGAAGACAGACTACACCCTGAACTGGTCGCTAGTCAGTCGCAGGGAACAGGTAGAGACAAACAACAATTCACACCCACACCCTCAACGAGTGGGAAGCGATCCCACACTGCCCGCACACAAGTCTGGTGAGTGGACCACTACACCATCAGCAACAGTAAGTGAATCATCCATCCATCCATTTTCTGATACTCTTATCCTCATAAGTGTCGCGTGGCATGCTGGAGCCTATCTCAACTGTCTTCGGGTAGTAGGCGGGGTACACCCTGAACTGGTTGCCAGCCAATCTCAGGGCACACAGAGTCGAACAACCATCCGTGCTCACACTCACACCCAGGGACAATTTTGAGTATTCCACTAAGCTGCAATGTGTGCTTTTGGAATGTGAGAGGAAACCGGAGTACCCAGAAAAAAACGGGGAGAACATGCAAACTCCACAGAATGTTTTTGAAAAAAGTGAAACATTTTAAAACATGTTTATTTTAACCGATTCGTGAATTAATTGACAAGATACTTGACAGATGAACGGATTATTAAAATAACGGGTAGTTGCACATTGGTTCGGACGTTGTATCACCAACCATGCTGTGGCATTACCAGGCCTCTAATATCGTTCTGCGGTGATGCCTCTCCTCCATGTCCTTGTCGCTATTTCTGTCCCTCCTTTACCTCCTCCCACCCACCTCGCTCCGTCCACCCATCTGGCTGAGGTGAGGTGCGGAGAGAGTGCAGGGATGGAACAACAGCTGGAGCCCCGTCAGAAAAGGATAGACAAATTACCCCTCTAACGAGAGCCGTTTATCATCTCTTCATCTACCCCATATTTCCACCCGGCCTCGACTCCACACGTCTACACACCCGCATGACAACACTGTAAAAATAATCCCATAATTTGACTCTCGACGATGCTCCTATTTCACTACTGGTGTGCTGTGTCGTCGTCAATCTGTTTGTGCTTCAATTAGGGAAATAATGACGAGGATGGGAAACGGTCCAGTGAATTCTGCATAGGAGGATGGGTAAAAAGAGGACCGGGCACACCTATGCTGGCACATGTGGAGAACCATTACTAGAGCTGCTGTCAGCACAGATGTTAGACTGAGGGGGAGCTGTCAGTCAGTGTGTGTGCCTCTATATGCATGCAGTACAATCAAACTTTGTTCCAACGTACCTCGAAGGACATAATTCGTTGTAACCATTTCCAATAAAATGGCCGCAAACTACGATTTATAGTACAGTATGATCATTTATAGATGTAAACCCATGAACATGTAATACGGTATAAACACGTCAATTATAAATACAGTACGTGCATAGGAAGAAAAAACGATTTTATGAGACATGAAACAAACAACTGCAGCATTCCTATGTCATCTCTGAAAACATTCAGCTGACAAATGTTATCCAACATAGGCAACTGCCAGTGCCACTGACCAAGCCAACTGTCACTTGGTAGTCTCAGGTGGGCTATGTCTGGAAAACTCCCTTTTGAAAGTGAGAGACAATTTCAGCCTTCACAGACAGCGAGATTTGCTTCTGTTTACCAGACATGTTTTTAGACCATGTGCTCAGGACCGTGCCATGCCTCT